AGTGTCAGGCCTGCGCTTTGTAGACGTGCTAGTAATGTTCGTAATTTATGCGAATGTTCTTCAAGAGATTTAGCGTAAATCACGATGTCGTCCATGTATACGAAGAGCTCTATACCCTGTAATCCTGACAAAACCTGGTCCATTAACCTTTGGAAGGTTGCGGGGGCGTTCTTCAAACCAAAGGGCATTCTCTGAAACTCATAGTGGCCGTGTGGGGTAGAGAAGGCAGTTTTCGCCATTGATTCCGGATGCATAGGAACTTGGTGAAATCCAGAGGCCAAGTCTAGCGTGCTAAAATATTTAGCCCCGCCGAGCTGGTCTAGGATATCTGTTATGTTTGGGAGGGGGTAAGAATCGCTTACGGTTTTTTCGTTCAAACCGCGGTAATCGATAACCATCCGCCATCGTGGTTGTCCGGAGGAATCTGGTTTTTTGGGGACTATCCACAGAGGGGAATTATAAGGGGAGCTGGAAGATTTAATTATGCCACCCTCCAGTAACCCTTCGACCTGCGTTTTTATTTCCTCTTTATGGACTTGGGGAAATCGGTATTGCTTTGTATTAATCAGTAGTTCATCTGTCGTTATGATTTTGTGTTGAGCGGCGTTGGTCGACCCTATCTTATCGCCGAGCAGGGTAAACTGATAGGAGAATAATGCGATATCTTCTAGGACGCTAGCCTTTTCGGCATCATTCAATTGGTCAAGTTTTAAATTTTTATTTAATTGGACTAGTCTCGTGGCCTCTGCTTTTGATCTATCAAGTGCAGGGTCGGCTGTTCGAGCGGAACGGTGGGCAGGAGGTACAACTTCGAATTTTTCTAGTTCAATTGGGGGAACTGTAAGTGTAATAGGAGTCGGGTTGGAATTTATTGCAAAGATTCTTGCTGTGCCATTCACATTTGTCACAAGCAATTCCCCAATGAATACACCAGGCCCGGCATCAATATTTGGTATATAACCTGACTTTTCTGTTGTATTTTTAAGTGGGATTGTAATGAGGGTTTTCGCGCGTGGGGGTAGTTCGAGTGTCACAGGCGAGCAGAACGAAAGAGCCTTTCCTCCTAATTTTAAATTTCCAGGAACCTCGTCATTGAACGTCAACTGAGCCTTTTGTTCCTTAAGGAATGAAATACCAAGTATACCAGATTCGTTGATGGGAAAATTATTATTGACTATTTGAAATTTAATCCTTGAGTTGTTGATCGCTAACAAAACTTCCCCTAATGTATTAATCATCCCCGAGCCAATCCCTGTGAGTTTGTATATTTTATTTGCGTTTATTGAGGTGTGGGGATGTAATGTACTTTGTTTGAGAAGATTTAATTGAGAACCAGTGTCGATCAAAAAACACGCGGTTCCCTCATTAAATTGGAGGCTAGTTAAGCTGACGACAGGTAATTCATAGGTATCGTTTGTTTTCAAGTTTAGACAGACGCGTTGGAATTTCCGTGGGCAATAAGGGGTTGTGCCTGGTTTACGCCCGTTTGCCGGCCCCCGTTGGCGTTTGAGAAGAAATTAAAGAATTTATTTGTTGCATTGATGGGTTGGCATTGTAATGAGGGTTGAATCGAGGATTCCCACTTAATTTCGAGCGACAAACGCTCTCTTTATGGCCTAATTTACCGCACCAGTGACATTTCAGGGTAGATTCCTGGGGACAGTGAATGGCAATGTGTCCTGGTCTGTTACAATTATAACACGTGCGTGTTTCGTGGCCCTGGATTGAATATATGCGTCTAGTAGGAGGCGCGTGTCCATTGTGTTTGTTGAAGGCGGATCGTGCATAGTGCGTCTTGGAAGTCGCGTGAATGTCGTAAGGGTTGGTGAACGTAGGTGTGTTTTGAGTATTAAGTGGTGAGTATGTGTTTTCTGCGTCATGGATTGTGAGGGTACGCGTCTCGCGGGTGATTATTTTGGGTAACGAGTGATTTCCGATTTCCCGCTCGAGTCGAGTAACTGCGTCGATTGCGTCGTCGAGGTTTTCAAATTTTCTTTCGGCAATCACTGTGCCATGTAGACGATCACGTAAGCCGCGCGTAAAACCCCTTATTGCTGCTCGAACCAACAGTATTTCTACGGCAGGGACTTGTTGCCCGTGGTATTCTTCTTTAATTGCTTCAATGCCGCGATTTAAGATTGAACTAACCCTAGCCCCAAAGAATTCCGTGTCTTCATTTTCGGCTTGGTGCACGTTTTTCAGTTCCTCTTGAACACGATCAATATCAAATTCTCGAGCAAAGGCGTTTTTTAGAATTTTTATTAGACCATTTATGTCAATAGGTTTACCTCGATTCTCGATTAATTGGTCAACACGGCCTTCAATTTTGTTTTTGATTAAGGAAAATAAACTCGGGTCTCTCTAAACCCCTTGACTGGGGTGCGGAGAGCGCGGTTGAGCCACCAACCGAGCGCGTCTCCGGG